GGGTGCGCGGGTCACATAAATAACTTTTGTCGCGCGCAGAAGGAGCTCAAATGCATAAAAGCTCTCATAAAGGAACGAGAGAGAGAGAGAGAGAGAGACGTCAGAACGTGTCTGGGAAGAGAGAGAGAGAGAGTCGTAATATATATAATCGAATCAACGATTTACAGATTAGCGGGCTGCTACTCGGGGATGAATAATTAAGGCCAGACTCGCTCGAGTCTCGGGCTACAGAGAGAGAGACATTTTTCTGTCCTGAAAGCTCGTCGACGACTCTCCCGTACTGCTGCTGCTGCTGCGCCTCGGCTTAATTGGCGCAACGGGCAAACAAGCTCTCGAACGATGTTTGCTCACCTTCTATTTATGCATCATATACGCGCGCGGCATCAATCGGAGAGAGAGCGAGTATATTTATCAATTGCAAGCACCAATGGCTCTCCTAGTACACACACACGTAAGCCGAGTATATACATAGTTTACCCTTGCGATTCTGTATACGTCTTGTGCACCACTATATACGCTAGGCTATATAGGCTTAAAGCACTGGTAGTATAAATACATGTATGCACATGGGCCGAGAGGCCTTCGGGCGCAGGCGTATAAACTGATCAAGCGCCTAATTACAATTTAATATGCACAAAGAGTTAATTTTTGTCTCGAGAACGAGAAGCTCGTGCGTTGATATACTCGTTTTCTTCGATCGTGCGATGCTCTATACATAATATCGAGAGCTGTACGTTGTAGGCGTGAGAGAGAGAAAAAAAAAGAATCGGCCATCTCGATCTTATTGTTGGCGCGATTCGGGCTGATTAGCGAAACAAAAGACGCAGGACGAAAACATGTGGTAAGCGTAGCCGCCACCCGTGCAACACACGCACTGTACCCGACGGCGGCGACTCTATATCTCTCCTTCTTCCTTTTTTTTTTCATCCGCCCTTGTTATATTTATCCGCTTCCTTATACTTCTCTGCTTCTTTCTCTCTCTCTCTCTATCGTCGGAGCAATGGTGTTTGCGCACTATCGTTGCCCACTTATGTCGCGCTCGTTCCTCCTTCTCTCTCTCTCTGGCTCTCGTACTGCTTTTCTCGTGTGCGACAATAGCCCGAGGACACTACAAGTAAATGTGCCACGCGTTTCGTTCGTTGGCTCGCTATATACTCGGGCCAATTCAGCTGCACGTATATACACGTATCGGTTTGATTTTGTGTATGCGCACACACACACACACACATAGGCATCGGAGGAGAGGCATGTGTGCTGCGTGTAAGCGCTTTAGGCTCTTTTATCAACATGAGAGGGCACTTGCCACTGCTGTTGCTGTTGCTGCTGTTGTTTATATACATGTATACACTGTATAGTTTACCGTTGGAGGCAAGTACACTACAACATGCGACTTTTGTTTGATTAAACACGGGAGAGTATGTAATTCCACGCTCAAGCATGTGTGTGTGTGTGTGTGCGCGACTCCTTATGCATTGACCCCCGTTAGTTTACGCGCGCATGACAATCCGAGTGTGCGAACGCGATGTATAAATGCATGCTGTACTCGGTGTGTCTCTTCGTTCGAGACTGCGAGTATATTTTTTTGATTTTTCAGGAATCAGCGGGAGATGCTGCGTTCGCTCTCGGAATCTCCAATTGTATCTCTGCTGCTGCTAGTTAGATAACTAGAGGAGTAGTATCTCTGATGTAATTTTCAGAAGTTAATCTATCATAAGTTAGACTATTTACAGCGAAATCGTGTTTTTGACTTATACCATTATTTTAACTTTACCGCTTGCAGATTTGCAGAATAAGAAACTTGCCATCTAGCGGTGGAGGCTTAAAACAAGTACTGCTTTTCGATATATAACTTGTGGAGAACTCAGTAGACAATTGTATGCGTGTGAAGGCTAAACAAGAGTTTGGTTTGTTGCAAAATTAATAATTACTGTATAAACATGTACTATATAAACTCACTTCATTCTTACTTTTGAATGAATAATATCCAATTATATATTTATTTTTACATTTTCCCTTGCAGATTTACCGGCGAAGATATTCGCCATCTAGTGGCGAAGACTTAAAGTGATATTAACGTAATAATCTCAAAAAAACAAGTCGAAAAACAACTTACTGTTTATGTATTTTAAAATATTTTATATTGTCGTTTTTTTCTTAAGCTCATAATTGAAAATTGAGAGTTTCTACAAGAAACATAATAATATTAATCCCAAAAATATGTTGGAAAATGTTGCCTAAGGATGTTGCTTTAATCTGAAAAACGTAAATACCCCAAGAAGTATTGCGTGAATTTAAAACTGAGCAAAACACAAATACTTTTCTATAAAAAGTAATAGAGCCAACTGCATATTCGGAGAGAAAGTCTTAACGAGAAATGGAATTTCATAAGGCGCGCAAAAACATCTATAGATTCAACTAGAAAATACTTCATCTATATTTCATTCGACTCATATAAGCAAAAAACGAAAGCTAACGACAGCCAAAGAAACATCAAAACTACACCTTCAATCGAGAATTCGCCAACTGATAAAGTCCCTTTTTTTTTCTCGACTGTCTATAGTGTCTCGAGCATACGCATAATATAACGCGCAAGTATACATTTCGAGCGCGCGAGAAAAAAAATAGGGAAGGAAAAAAGTAGCAGCAGCAGAAACGAGATCGTAGTCAGCGACGCCGTTGGGACCAACAACCGCGAGCACAAACGTCGACGACGGCTTTAAAGTAGGAAAACGACGCCCTGAATTATCCATGAAAACGTAACACACAATCGTCCTGCGCGCGTATATATAGGTGCAAGCGCCAAGCCTTTATGCGAACAAAGACACGCGCGGAATTTGCCTTTTTTATTTTCCTTTTTATTCTACTGCGCGCGCGTCTAACCTTTTTTTTCGACCGTCTTATTCGTGTGTTTGCTCGTGCCTTTTCCGCCTAGATAGTTAGAGAGAACTACGCTAATGAGTTGATTTTTATACGCGCGGACAACGGCTAATTTTTTGCCGGGACGGCGAACTCTAACCAGCCGAAAACGAAAAGCCTTTTTCTTTTTTTTTTTCGTCGTCGAGGAAAGAAAAAAATGCGTTCAACTCGTCCAATGTCAACGTGATTAAAAAGAATGCGTATACGAACGAGCACAAAGGATCGACTCTAAATACGTGATTACACGCGCACGTGCACGTGCGGCCGGCCCGATGATATAGCGAAATGCATAAATCATGCGTGACCCGTGCACACAACAACTTACACTTAGGTTCAATAATTTTAAAAATTAACCGCGACGCTGATTCGATAAAATTACTGTACGCACTTTTAGCAGGCGCGCCGCGACCTTCGAGACAATGAATTATCTTACTTTTTCCGCGATCCGCGAAAAACAACTGAAGAGTGCTGTTTTGATTCGATGAATTATGCAATTGCGTAAGCGCAATGTAATCATTCAATTTCACTTAGGCGTTTGACGCGAATTTTTTTTTTTTTTTTTTTCAAAAAAAAAAAAATTATAAATTTTTTACAAAAAGTAGGTTCATTCACACCTGCTTTTTGCATCATGCACGATGTTGAATACGAGCCGAGCTCGCGCCTTCTGGTATATTATTTAATTTATAAAACTATTACCTATCTTAAATATCGCACACGACGATGCCATCGAATGTATAATAAAGAGGCAAAAAACTGTTCTTGCGCCATCTATTTTTTACGCGAAAATTTATTAAATATGAAACTCATTAATATTGCAAATATTGATATTTTTTTCAAATTTAACACAAAAGCGCGTCAATAATTCAGACAAGGTTAGCTATATACCGTTCAAATTGAATTACACGTGCCACGGCGAAAAACAGAATTGACTTCTGTTATTGCACGTGTGTGGCACATATATAGAAATCTTTTCGACAAAATATAATCGAGTTACTTTTCGACGCGTACTTAGAGCGCACTTAAATCTTAATCAGCTCGCTCTTTTCTTTTCCGCTCTAATCAACAAAAAAGCTCGAGCGTATTTATGCTCTCCGTGCCCTACTCCCTATTTTCAGCGATGCTTTGAGCGCGCGGGCTTGACTTTACGGGGAAAAAAAAAATTCGAGGCGGACAAAAAAATTTTTATGGCTCCGTGCAAGATTAAGAAGTTAAATATAGTGCCCGAGCGAGAGAGTATACAAGATGCCTAAATATCGCTTTATTTCTCGGCGAATGTGTATATAGGGGAGCGGCGGCCGCTGCCGACCGCTTAATAGAAAAATTATGAACTTTTTTTCATTGTCGTCACCAGCAAGTTACATCGTGAAAAACACACACAATTGCCTTGTAACATCCCAAGACACTCGAATATAAGCAGAGTGTTTTTTTTTCTCCTATATAGAGTCATCCGTAGCTGTAGCTTAATCGTGGCAAACTTTTTAATTTCGAGTGCGTTGCCGGCGAGCATTTCAACGTTTTTACGAGACAAATTAGGGGTTGATTTATTAGCTTTTAAAAATTTCACTCAAGAAACATATTATTTTTTTTTTTATTGAGTTGGACACTATGGTGTTGATGCATTTTATCAACAAAATCTTTTAAATAATATCTAATTTTAAATTTGATCTTTGTAAAATGAATTAAAAATTTGTCCCGTCCGAAAATGCCTGCGCAAATCCCAGTTTCGTTTCAGAATCTTTTACAAAAACAAGACGGTTGGCACTTATAAAATTTGTTCAATGATGTTAAACAAAAGGTGCTATGATTTGATTAAAGACCAAAAACATTAGTATAAAACATTATTTGAATATAGTTACGTCTTGAAAAAGAAAAATTTTTTGTTTCGGAAAACACTGATTTTGTTTGCAGAGTCTAGGCAATTTCGAAGGCATTTAGGTAGTGGTAACGTAGAAAAAAAGGATTTGCAGGATATTTGAAAAGTTACATTCTGAAAATGAAATAAAGATTTCTTGAATTTCGTTTTTATTTTGAAAAATTTGTGTAATGACGTTATTTGAGTGATAATGCACCGTGTATGAATAATACATTTGCCCGTATTTATGAGTACAATTTCACTAAAATTTGGAAAAATTAAAAAATTACTTTTAAAATTTATTAATGACTTAAAAGTCACTTTATAAATAATATATATTTTTATTCTCTTGAAAATATATATATTTTAATATGCATGACATTACTATATGGTTTAGTTATATTGCTATGCTCTTCAGCTAATTCAACCAAACAGTTTATTTTACTTTTTTTTAAACTTGACGCTTATTTTTGGAGTTACAGTATGAAATTATTTTTTGCTTAAGAATGTTTTCTTGAACATATCACACAATGTTTATTTTTCTGAGTGCCGATCAATCGATCGATGATTTGCTACAAATGTTACACGGGCAGTAATATGATTGTGCACTAGATCGATATGAAATTTGAGATAACCCTTTTGTGAAAATGTATTTTTTCGTGTTTAACATGGGTAAGAAATACGATTATACACCGAATCAATGTGGGATTTGAATCAATCCTTACGTATGAATTTTTTTCTTCATAAATTTCAGTTTTAAGGTTTTCAATGACCATGAACTGAATTAATATGCAACTTGAGATGACCCTTTTGTGTAAACGGTTTTCCACATATACCACATGTATGTGTGATACCATTATGCACCGAATCAATATGAGTTTTCAAACTAGTCCTGTATACAAATGACTTTCCGCATGTATCACATTTGGGAGGATTTCGATTTTCTGTATGATTTGAATTCATATGGACTTTGAGACGAATCTTGCTGGAAAATGTCTTTTCACACACGTGACAAGGGTAAGTAATAAAATTGTGTATTGCATCAATATGAATTTTCAGAGAACTTATTTGTGTAAATGACTTTTCGCACATATCACAGCGATATTTTCGACCATTATGGAATGAATCGATGTGTATCTTGAGATAATACTTGCGTGAAAATGTCTTTTCACAAATGTCACACGGGTAAGCAATACGTTCATGTATCGCATTAACATGGGCTTTCAGATTAACTTTTTGTGCAAATGATTTGCCGCATATATCACACTTGTGAGGTTTTCGACCATAATGTACTGAACCGATATGCACATTGAGATAAGGTTTATGTTTAAATGTCTTTTTACAAATGTCACACGAATAGGACTTACTATTATCCTCTGAATTAATATCGGTTTGCACGGGTATTTTAGCAGATAATGTCTTTAAACTTGCATCACACTCAGCAGATTGTTTACTTTTATTTACTAAAGTATAAACTTTTTCATTCTGTCCGTTAAGTGTGCAGCCAGTTTTTATATCTATAGTTTTCTGAGTATCACTGAGAAACTCTTTCTTGACTTTGCCCTCAGTTTCTATTTTAATCGAGGAATTTTTAACATCTTTATATTGATCAGACCGATGAAACCAATCGTTTTCTTCATCGGGTACTGATAAATTCACAATGGGTTCAAAATCTTTGCACTCAAACTCTATTTCAATTTCGTTCTTTGGTTGAAATTGATGAATTCCTTCGTTGGTTTCATCAGATACTAGTAAATTAACATTAGGTTTCTCTTCTTTGCACTCAACCTCGGTTTTGATTTGGTTTGATTGAAATTCATGAATTCCTTCGATCACTTCATTTAGTTCGAGCAAAGTCTCTCTGGGTTTGACATCTTTGCACTCAAATTCTACTTTAATTTCTTGGTTAGGTAGAAATTCGTAAATTCCTTGATATTCTTCAAGTGTATGAATCTGTGACAAAGATAAAGTTCTATAACAATTTTGTTTGAAAAAATAATAATTCTATCAAATCAAGTCATTAATTAACTTACGGAAATCTCTTGCAGACATCTGAGGTATTGCACATTTTTAACATCGAATGCTTGATCACTTGTTTCACTATCGCCATTTTTGTCATAGTACATGTCATTAGACTCTTCTTTTACTCTGAAAATATCGATAAAATTGAAAAAATACACTTACTTATCTATTTATTTCAATTTACACAATAACAATTACTTGACAGTTGAGTTGAATGGACCACTAGACTCCATTTTATTGAATTTAAGACTGGTCCTAGACTTCCTTCTTTGCATAAAATGCAATTAAAATTAGTTGGTATTACAAATCATGAAATCGAAATGACGACGTGTTAACGCAAGCAAAACAAAGAACTGAGTAATACCGAGTGCTCGATATGTTTACAAATATGGAATAGAATTAGTACCAGCAGATGAATTCAAGGTGGTAGAAATTGTATCAACAGATGCGATCGACGTGAAGTGTGAGTACAATAAGTAAGAGTTGTAACTGATATTTTTAAATCTCGTAATTGAGCAGAATTTCAAGTTATCACAATTCACCTACTTATGAAAAAAATATATAAATGCGAAAAAAATTTTATTGAACAGGAATAATCCATTTCTGCCAATAGAAATTGAACCTTACATCTACCCAAGTTTAATACAAGGCAATAACTACTACTTTACGATAAGTTTCAATACTTACGAAACTTTTGTCAGGTACTGAAGAATTGACAATTCTGACGAAAATTTTATAATATTAGCCAGTAACTTTACGATCAAACATTTTTTCGAAGTAAATATTTCGATTTGAATCGTGACTACCAACAAAGGCACTTTTTTGCGCTTACGGATATTCTATTTGATTCAGAAACTTCATTTTACAAATCGAAGTAGACTAGGAGTTCATTAAAACAAATCCCAGGTTTTTTCGCTGTCTCTTAGAGAACGATATGATTTCGGTATACAAATTAAAAACATCGGTTCGTAAGTATAAAAATGAATAAGCAGAAAAGAAGTGTATAGAACAGAAAGCAAGCGAGACTTTGCCTCGGTTAATAATTTACGTATGATTTAAAAATGTTTGTGCAGTGATTGTAAAAGAGGAGCAGTCAGTTTTACACTTTACATCCTCAAAATGAAACATCGTTTTCTTTTAATTTTTTGAGAAAAAATTTTTTCAAGTTCGTCAAATTCCTGCATAAGAATCTATAGTTTTGAAATCGGATAACGTGTACTTTTTTGAGCATTTATACATTAGGAATAATCACATTTTTAAAAGAAAACTCTTTACCAATCCATTGGGCAGCGGCTTTTAAAAATAGTTACAATGATTTTTTGTTTCACTTCATTACGACGTGTCATAAGCTTGGTGATCAATTAACGTGCAATTAAGTATAGCTAATTAATACAAGACATTCGGCGAAATTTTCGGAGCTTTTTTCGTAAACCGGAAATTCATATCGTCCCGCTGTAGTATAGCGAAAAAAAAATCACACACGAGCCCGGCTCAATAATAAATGCGACAAGCGTGTATTTATACGGAAACACAAGGCATCGCGGGCTGCATACGCTACATATATATACGCGTATGTATATAAAAGTTCTCTTTCACCGCGATGTAGACATAAAAAGCGGAAAATGACACGTAACAAAAAAAATAAAGGCAAGGCGCATATAATATCTTCGGAAAATATAATGCACGTACTTAGGTAGATATGTATATTCGCGCAGTCGTATATATACTCTCACTGACCAACTGGGAGCTCGCCGAGCTCACTCTCTCTCTCTCTCTCTCTCGGTGTCTCTCATGTTTAATGCAAGTCAAACTTCCGGCTGTCCACGCCGCTGGGTGACGTTTTTTTCTCTCTCCTCGTACGATATATCTCGATTCTCGCAGTGTCAGCGATTAAAGGGAAAAAGTCCGCTCTGTCTCTCTCTCTCCTTCGTTTATGCAACCCTCGTCGTGGAAAGAAGAAAAAAAAAAACATAATTTTCATCGATTGCCTCTTGGACAAGTTGCTGCGCGCACACTTGGGCCGAGCCACTGGATACGCTAATTATTGTCATTATCATAATACGACGTGCTCGTATCTCGCATACACATTCACGTTCACGCAGTCGGCGAGTCGTGCATGATTTATGATATATTTTGAAACGTTATATACGTTAACGTCGTCCGTTTAAGTATATCCGAACGCTGCTGCCCCCTCGCAAGCGTGTGTCATTGGGAAATGCATTTTTCAAATGCTCGCTAAGCTTGTAGCGTCTTGGGGTATGAATATTCATTTTTTTTTCGTGCTCAAAGGCACTATTACTTATACTTGCGCGCGCTTTTTTGCCCCGCGAGTAATAGTTATAGTCATCGAGCAGCGAGTTATCATTTCTTTTTTTTTTTTTTCAAATTAACTATCGGTTGTTGCCACGCTATAGTAGGATATATCTCGTTGCAGCGAATCGTTTATCACGACATTCGACTCGACGTTCGAGTAGAGGTACTTTGAAAAATATTTAATTTCCATAGGCCTCGAGAATTAAACGGCGAATCCCTCGAACGATTTTTCTTCATCCATCAAAATCCTCAGTAGCCTAGAGTGTTATTCTCAAGCACATTCTCGTCGGCTCTCCTCGCGTGTAAAAACAAAAGTTTGCCTCGCGCCGGTTAATCAACTCTCGGGGCGGGCCAAGCGGATATAGCTCGAGCTTTATAATCCAGGCGCGCCGCTACCATCTACAATCTAGCGAACTTTAGTATTCTTTATAAACTCCCTTACTGCACGGGGTGGCTGGCTGCTGCTGCACGCCTGGATTAGCAGCAGTCTGACACGACCCCGGACTCCGTATACCGGCGAAGACGCGATGAGAGCTGACCTCTCTCTTGGCTGCTACACACGCCGAGCACGTTATAATGTTCTAATCAGCCTGCGAACTAGCGCCTGCACTGCCTCGCGCTCTACGGTGCTTACATTTGTAATTATTCCAACATCTTAAGCTCTTATGCCTTGGCTATATAGTAGTAGTAGTAGTAGTAGTTTTCTCTCCTATGGAAACTTGCGGCCTGGAATATGGAGCTGGATTTGAGGTACAGTACTGGCGTTTAATAGCTCATGAAGCCGCTCGCGCTAATCGTTCGGGATTTAAAATATTATTTCCCTTTCGAGTTTCGGCTTCGTCTTCTAAATTTTAATAATCATAAATACGCGTGTCCCTCTATACAGAAATCATTGACTCGATAATCGAGTGATCTATAGCACTATCCAAACACAAGAATTACCCGAACTAATTGACGGAGTACAAATAATAATTTTTGTTTCTTCTTCGAACGTAGCCGAGCGCATGATTTGCCTATCAAAGGTCGCTCTCTTCTCGAAGGCATCGGACGTTAAAAGCGCCAACGCGCATGTAGATGAGTACGGCGCGTATATAAAGCATCGGAAAAGGGGAAATCGAGTAAAGAATATGCGTATGTATATAGCGACGCGAACAAGTGCGTATGTTTTTAGAGAGAGAAAGGAAGAATGAGCGAACGGTATTATATCGAGCATAAAGAGCCAAGTTCGGTCCCGTGAGGCCGCAACATTTCTCTCCCCTTGTGCTGCTGCTGCTTCTGTTTCTCTGTGTATATACGCACTACACACAGACACGAACACACGAGTATACGCTTTACGCTTATACGTATGTGTAAGTGCTGCTGCACAGTGAAAGAGACAAGAGAGCAGGTTGATAATCTGCGCGTAATACAAAAACTCTCTCGTCTCTCAACCCTACGTATATAACATTCGTTGAACCCCATCATTTGGTCCTTTACGCGGGCGCGTCCGTACGACTACGTACATGTATGCGTGCGGCCCTTGTTATCTGATTAACGCTCTTTCAAGCCTCCGATGCTCTCCACTCTCTGTCCTAATACTTATGTATATATACGTGCACAGCCGTACGTAATACGTACGTATATACAGAGCACAGGACCCTCTAACTCGTCGCTATATATATACCCGGAGAATATTTCTGTCTCGCCCAAATATGATGGGCGGGTGTGTGGCGCGCGCTCGGGATTATAACGGTTAGACGAAAAGTCGATTACGCGAGAGATGCTTCTAAGTTCGGTGTGCGGTGGTACTTCGCCGCTCCGTATATCCGCTGCAGGGCTTATTTACGAGGTCGTTGCTTATTGCCACCGCCGCGCCGACGCGCTCACCTTCTTGTTACGTACCGTATACTACTCAAAATTATTAGCGAGACTTTTGCCCCCGTTCGAGAGCTTGCGGTCGTTTTTACTGCCCGCCTTTATATACATTTCTGCGGATATATGTACTATAATATATATTCGAGCGGTCGCCGTCCAAGAGCTTACATTGTTATATTCGCGTAATGGCTGATGCTGCGCGTACTTAACTGTGATGGATTTTATTTTTAAAACTCGTATGTGTTAGTGAATTGATTTGAAGGTGTCTCACAACGGTAGAAACGATCGACGTTTCGGGTCTAGTTTTTGGAACTGGGCATACACTAATGATCATTAACACATTGTGCCCGTACAGTTTTCCACATTTCTTTTTGACGATTTTCTGTCTGCATAAAAACCGAGCAAATTACCATTATAACGTCTCTTCACCATGGTAGTGAAATCGACTTATACGATTATTTTGATTTAGCCACTTGCAGATTTACAGCAAAAGGCACTCGCCATCTGGTGGTGAAGGCTTGAAACACATGCAGGTTGAACAAGTCGAGTTGGTTGGTTAATTCACAAATTGATAATTATCGTATAGACGAGTGATGCCAGAGACAAGGAATCCTTAGGACACGCTTAATATTGACCATGTGCTTTGACTTATATAATTATTTTCACTTTGTCACTTGCAGATTTATATACGATAGTACTTGCCATCTAGCGGAGGAAGCTTAGAGTGTGGGATTATATCATATTCAAAGTTCTTGAAAATTGGTTTAAAGTTTAAAAAAAATTAAATTGATTTCTTAGGTCATTTAAAATGAGCTCAATATTTTTTTTATACCATATCGGTCTTTGATGCACGTCAAAAACACTCGCCTATTTTGGAACAGTGACCAATAGCTATCAGCCTATTGGTAAAAAAAGTACATTAAATTAAAAAAGATTCGATGTTATTTATTAATTCATGATTGATTAAAAATGTTATTTCTTCATTCACTTATGGTCAACAGTTTTTCAAAATACCTACCGGGCATGTGCAGTCACGTAAAAAGCCCAAAAACACCGAACAATCGAAAAATTGACGCTAGGAAAATAAGTCAATTAATGCGATGAATCGAAGGCTTAAAATCAATTTAGCGACTCTTACGTACCTGTCTCGCGTTA